GAAACTCGAACTCAAGTTAATGAACAATATTTTTTATATTCTTAAAAATGCTATAACTTTTTCGTTTTAATTCTGATTGAGATGATTTTTTTTCTATGCGTTGACAACGACAATACGAATAAAACTAGACCCATATATCCTATTAAAATTTTTCATCAGCATTGAGTTTTTATTAAAATACTATCTAAAAATAAATTCAAGTTTTGACTTACTCAAACACAAACTCAAAAAAGATTCTTATCTCAAACCATAACTCAAATGTACACAACCAAACACAAACTCAAGTTACAACTTCAACTCAAGTTATAACTCAAACTCAACTCAAAATCTACACTCAAATTACCTAACTCAAAAACATCAAAAGAACAAGCCCTAAAAAACACACATAAGAAAAGTCTGTGGCCAGCCACAAATTTTCTTTCTTGTCATATGTTAGTTTTTATCCCTTGAAATTATGCTTGTTATTGCAAACTCTATTTCCTCTCCCTCTTCACAAATATCCTTCTTTTATACATGGAAATATACATCCTGCTTTCGATTATTGAACATTAAATATGCACTTTAATATTTATATTCTCTCCGTAAATTATAAACTAATACAAAAGATGAAGCATATTGTACATAATGTTTGACCTAAAAATGTGGTGAAAAATAGAAGCAATTTGTAATTAAGGTTCACATCAATATTTGATTATTTATATATATTATTGGAATAAAATTTAATTTTTGGATGTGTCGCTTGCTAAGGTCTTGAAGCCCCATTCCAATTGCGTCAACGACCAGTGCATCTATAGCATCAGTTACGGTGATGGTGCTGGCACCACAAAAGGCGTCGCCTCAGTGGAGACCTTTCGGTTCCCACTGAAAGATAACACAATTCAACCCCTAGATGGCATAGTCTTCGGTTGCTCCAACGACAACGTCAATATTGGTTATGATGACACCGCAATTTCCGGGATCATTGGGCTGAGCTTGTCTCGCGAATCACTCGTGACACAACTGCCCGATTACGTACAAGGTAGATTCTCTCCCTGCCTTGTGTGCCTTTGGCCGAAGGCGAAGCTGCAGGGCCATCTAGTTTTCTCACATTTGGAAGCGCTATATTCCCACTGGGGGCAATATTCAAACAACTTCCTTTGTTAAGTCTCCTATATATAAGTAACATCTACTACTATTACCTAAATTTGTTGGACATAAGCGTTGGTCGGGACAGAATTGGTTTTCCCTCGGATACATTCAAGCTCAACCAAGATGGTACCGGCGGTATCCTTATAGACTCAGGGTCAGTTTCGTCTTATCTCAACAGCGATGATTTACGAAATGGAAGAAATCCCTATAAGGAAGTGATTGGGGCGTTTCAAAAGTTTTATGACTCTCTTAATCTCCAGAGAAAGTTCAATGCACCTACTGTGCCTCAATTTGAATTGTGCTATGACATGCCCCAGGGTTTTAACCATTTTGCTACAATGACATACCATTTTTATAAGGCTGACTACATTGTTGATGGCATATTTGCAAATTATATTAGAAATGAAGATGGCTTTTTTCTGTGTGTCATTGCTTGGTCTAAGTCGGATGTCAATACTAGGAGCCTGGCATCAGCAGAATAAAAGGATTATTTATAATGCCAACATTTTTTCACTGCAGTTTACTGATGAGCTATGCCAATAATCTTCTAAATTATGTATCTTCTTCATTTATGCTATTTTCTGATTTATGGAATGGTGTGTACTGAAAGAATCAGGCCCCCCCGATTCACCCGTTTGAAACCCCATGAACAGTAAAAAAAGGTGATTTGACATGCGGGTGAGAATTTTTCTCATTGGCTTGTTATATAATTGTTCTCGTATTTGATGTGGCGAATTTTTTTTCTACTAATTGGCTTGTTATAAATTGTTGCTCATGGAGACAAGTTATGTTTGGCTTTTATTTTTAATTCACATTTTTTTCATATATTTCTCACTTAGCTTGTTATAATTTTGAGTTATAATTATTTGCATAATTTTTTTCTAATACTTTATTTTTTTAATTATACGACGAATTATATTTTTTTTTTAAATTACACGTAACGATTTATATTTATTATATAATTTCTTAAATTATATTTATTTTGGTCATGATTCAAATTCAGAAAATAAGACAACTAAACACTGGTTCGAATCACATTTCAGGTTAGAATCAGAATCATGCATATACACATCCAAACGAAGGTTCTGATCACTCTGAATCATGATTCAAATCATGAATCATGGATCTGAATCAAATGACTCAAATCACCCTGATTTCAATCCTTATACCAAACGAACCCTAAGTGAATGAAAAATTGATGTTCTAAGTATGTCACTTGAAGTGGTTAAGATAGTTGAAAATTGCAAAAAATCCCACATTGGTTAGGAATTAAGCCTTCCAGTCCGGCATTCGTGTCCGCACACATTGAGCCTCTAACCCGCCAAGCCCGTGATCTGTACTCTCTGCGCGTGAGAGAGCCTCTATGGTATACATGCTTACCTAGGCTTTAAAATGCATTCATAATTCGAATCATGATTCAGAATTTGAATCATGATTCAAGATTCGAATCATGATTCAGAATTCGAATCATGATTCAAGATTCGAATCATGATTCAAGATTCGAATCATGATTCATTAGTCATTGTGGATCCAAACGTGAATTCTTGCATCGAATCGTGATTCATTAGCCATTGTGGATCCAAACGTGAATTCTTGCGCATGACTCCGAGTCATGATCCGGAATTCACCAACCAAACGCCTACTGAAACAGGGTTTGGGTCAGGTTGCAAATTTTTGGGGCTGATTCTGGAATCCGGCTCCCCCTGATTCGTGCGCAACTGAACCCAAAAAACCAGTGTTGCAAACCGTGGTCTTCGCTTCAATAATGAGCTCACCGCTCGAGAACTACCATCGCGAATCTCCCCAGCTTTTCTCTTTCTTTCCGCAGGCGGCCAGACGAATCTGCAGCCTTTTCTCTCCATTTTCCCGAGAAATTTTCTTTGACTGTCCTCGGCGTTTCTTCCCGCTTTCACCCGTCTTCCCCGAATGCTGCCTTTGTTTGCGTTTAACCAGGCCTAGGTTGTTACCCTCTTGTCTGAGTTGATGAGAAGTGGCGTGACTAAAGGGGTGGTCGTGCAAAGACGAAGAAGGCTCCACATTCGGTACCAATTTCGGCGATACTATGAAAGCAATGCCATTTCACACCTTCACCGGAGAGGTAACGGACGGAGGTTGAAAAAATCCCAAAAACCTTCATCTGTGCTCGGTTTTCTGCCGCCGGTGTCCGTACTCTCGTCGTCGGACTCCAACTCTGCAATGGTATGTCTTCTCCACCGTAGTTTGATTTAGGCTGATACGCTTTGGATTTTGATGTCGTTCCTGCCCATTGCAATAAAATTTTATGTCGTTTTCCCTCTTAACACCCGGATGTGATTGTATTGTTTGAGACTTTCTTTAAATTGCACAGAAATGGCACCCTAAATGTATGTTAAGGGAAAAAAAAAATTTTCAAGAAACGCGAAAGACTAAGGGTGGGAGTTGCTGTTTCTAGTCTTATAATCTCTGCCTTTGCATTTCTCTCATTCACTTTTCTTACATGCATTAGTTCGCTTTACACTGCTGATAGCAGCACCAAGATTGCAGATTGCTCCAGCATCAACTTCAGATGCTGAAGAGCAGCCTGCTGTGGTCTAGTTGTTGCATATTGTTCATATCCTCAATATGTACTATTATATATATATATATATAGACACACACATATTAGCTGTTCTTGTTTTCTCATCTGTTTGTGAGATCTAAGCAAGTGAATGCTGCATCTTCTTGTAATAAAAGTTCACTGTAATAGATTTCATGTTACACAACTTTGAAACATTCTTCATATGTAATATTAATTGTTCCTAGCAACTGTTTAATCATCCATTTTTATGAGCAAGTGAAAATTTGGTATGTTCTTTCTACATGAAAGTCCACCACATCTGTTTACATTATGTAATACAACTTCGAAATATTCTTCATATGAATGTTATATTTTATTTCTGTTTTTGTTGCTGAATAATACCATGGGATATAGAGCTTAGTTTCTGGCTCTAGTGGTTGCTATAGTTAGCAGCTAACCAGCAAAAGTAAGAGATTACTCATTACCTATGGAAAACTGAAAACAGGTAGCTGACATCCTAAAAAGCATGAGTATTTTTATCTAAAAAAAAATAAAAATAAAAACCATTAGCATTTGAATATAGTATTTCATCTCTTATCACGTGTCCCTATGAATATCATAGAAAAAAAAAGAGTTAAAAGCTATAGGCTTTTAAGTTTCAAATTTAATAAAAATTATTTGTCAAAAAATGGTCCATTATAATGGGTCTTAGTTAAGAGTTATATTCTTATCTAGAAGCTACATGCCTTCTTTTACCTCTATAATTCCTTTTTCCTTATTATCTGTAAAATATAATGCCGTAATTTTCAATTCTTTATCATTTTTGGCTTTCTTGTGTCCTAATATCAAAGCTAAGAGTTGCCTTTTACTTGATCATGTATGCATTCATTTGAAACCGCTTCTCCTTGTGTTTTGGTTTTTTTCATCGTTGTTTTAGGTTGACATGATATGTAGAACACACACAGACACACATTAATCCATAAATGCTTCCAATATGGACATTTGACAACAGTTGTATGCGCATTATTTTTTCGCTGGTTAATGAAGTGGACCGGAGAATGAGAATCAAAATGACAAATCTTGTAGCTTTTGCAAACCTGAAAGTTAGTATTGTTTTTCAATCGTGTTTGTCAATGGTAACTTGTGTTCCTGCATGCATTGTCCTGTTCTTGGGTGTCGTATGCGTGTTTAGATGCCACGAAGAAACCGAGATGAGAGGCCACTGCATTGGAACCCCGCTGCGGAGGATTTTCTCCTTGAGAGATTGTACGAATATCATGACCAAAATCATGGTCGGCATCCAGAATCGCATGACTATAATCAATGGGGAGTTGAAATGGCCAAATTCTTTGATGGATATGTTCCTGATGGTGACCGAATTAGGGAAAAATGCCACCAGCTGGGGAAGGTTTACACTGCGTACAAGATGTTACAAAACCATACTGGAGTAGGTTGGGATCCTGTCACTAAAACTTTCACATGTTCAGAGGAGCTGCGGAGCGATCTGTGTAAGGTAATATGATTGTTTTCATTAGTTCTGTATTTTCCAAATAGTTCACAAGTTAAAATTTTTTGAAGTCTAATCAAGTAACAATTTTCATGTGTTACTAGAGAAACCGTGAAGCCCGAACATTGTTCACTCAAGGATGGAAGTTGAATGAGTTGTATTTGGCCACCGTTTTCCCTACTTGCGTTGGGGCTTCTGGTTTAGGTGCATATTACCCTACCGTGGGGCAAGAGGGAGTGGATGGTGTCACCTATGAAGACGTTGCTGCTAGGGATGCACAGCAACAACCTAACCAAAATGCCCCGTACCAAACAAGTGATGATGACGAGGATCGTAATGACCTTGGCAACCGCGTCAAACGTTTTTGTCAGCGAAATGTGACAAATGTTGCCTCCACGTCACGTGTGAACCGAAAGAAACAGTCGAGGTCAAGGAATTTGAATGACAGTTCGTGTGAAGAGCTTCTTGAAATGGTTAGAGACATGAGAGATGATTTGAGAGAAGATATCCGTTCCAACAAAGAGAGCCAGCCGAGTAACAACACTGTCGACGGTCGAAGTGAAGCCGAAATCATCTTGACTTCGCTGAAGGAAATGGGAATTGGCCCTCGAATGCAAGTCCATGCTTTCGACAAAATTATGCATTCTGATACTTGGCGTTCGGCTTGGGGCAAAGTTGATGATGGCGTGAGGCGGGCCTTCTTGAATGACTTTGTCGTTGTGCCAAAAACGCCGTTTATTTACGATCCACCTAATCCTTACAACCAAGTGCCGAACCCCTACAACCAGCCTCCAAATCCATTTGGCTAGGCACCAAATCCATTTGGCTAGGCACCAAATCAATTCAACTAGCCCCCCGGTAACGACTCAAGTTTTCAGATTGCTAGTTAGCTAACTTAAACATGTTTATCTTACATTAAAATATTTACTTGACTATGATCAAGCTCTTTGTTATCAAAATTTTGGGTTTTTTTTAATATTCTTTTTGCATAAAATTTCTTTCGTTATAAACTTTAAAAGTCCACCCATGATGTGGGTAAATAAACTTGAACATCAAAGCAAATTGAGGAAAACGATTTTTTTTTTAGAGGATTAAATTGAAACATGCTTTACTTCTTTGTATAAAACCGTAACTGAACAAACTACGTATTAGAAATTATTTATTCATTTAAGTGACTAACTTTAAAAGTGAATTTCATATATATATATAGATATAACTATCTAGTATATTGATATGTTAGAAATAAATAATCATTTAAAATTACAATTATAGTCTTTATAGGAGAAAACTCCATAAGTATAAAACTTGAGGTTATTCGCTCAATAAATTTTATTCTAGTTTTAATAAAAGAAACTCAAACTTGTTAAAACGTATCCGCATCTTTTTTTTTATAAGATATTTATTATTTGAATAAATGACTTAACTTAAAACTTTGAAATAAACTTATTATCTTAGTGTGAAAATTATTTACGTGGTGGTATCCAATACCCTTGCCTCCATCTCCCTATTTCTGCTAGCCAACCCATCAATAGTATTTGAGCTGCGGGTAATAACCCAATTTATTTACAACATGAACTTAATGAGCTAAAGCCCAGTGAATACAAATATCCTTACAAAACATTTGCATAGATAAACATCATATAATATGCATGGCCTTTTATGCTTAATTATGGAAATGTATTTTATTACTTTAGGGCCCTGTGCTCGTCCCATTGTGCGTGACCAATGGGGAGTGGGTGAGCGACCCAACCATTTCGTCCAACTACACCCAAGGTCATAAATTATCCTTATCAAACCTTCCATCCCCATGAGCCAGAGGAAAATCTCTCATCCTCATGGGCCGGAGGGCGGTACAACACTTAACTTGTCTTTATTACCTTAGCCTCTTATTTAGGTGAACATGCGATTATGATCATGTCACAAGAGTATATCATTGCAAATACTTTTAAGAGGCAACATCATATTACACTTATCATTCATGTCACAAAAGAATAACATTATAACTCCTTTAAAGGGGCATAAATTACATCATACCCATCATTCATACTAGAGAAAATTTGCACAATACAAAAAGGCAATTTTTCAAATATATCTTTTAAAAACACATTCATGCTGTAGGTGAGGTTTGTACTCACCTGTTTCGCGTGCAATCATTTCACAATCACACTTGCCTCGCCTACCATTAGCGAATTATTTATCCTGATTCACAGTACTCTCGTCATTAGAATAGGGTCTTAGATTGACTCTTATAGACCAGCTATTTAAGGATGCTTAATTCCTTTTATCTAGCTTAAATAAATCTAACCTCTAAATATATACCTTTTAACAATTTAATTAATTAGTTGATTAATTAATTAATTAATTAATCATAGATTTTAGTAAAATATTAAAGAAAAAATTATACAATGGTGATTAATTATTATTTAATTTTACTTAATTAATTAATAATTGATGTTCTTAAAATATAAATTATCTTTAATAATTATTAATTAAATATAATTAAGTAAAAATTTCATGAGAAATACTTAAATTATTATCTAATTATGATTGATCATTTATTAATAACTTACACCTTAAGAATCAATTATTTCAATTTGTTACTAATTAATTGTAATTGAATAATTAATTAATTAAAACTCAAATAAATCATTTCCTTAAAATAACAATTAATTGCTCAAAATAATCAAGTAAATCCTAGCTTAATAATTATTTAGAAAAATGAATTCAAATAGTTTCTTTTTTTTTTCTTTTCTTTTAAGAAAAAACATTTTCTTAATTAATTAATTAATTAATTTATAAAGTAAATAAATTAATTTACTTCATCCTAGATGTGGATTCTATGGAACCGTTTATCTTGTTAAGCTGACACTAGAGTCGCTAAATACTTTCTTTAACTTGTGGCCTTTCTAAAATTGGTATTGGGCCTTGGGCCCAATCTTTGAGGCCTTACAGTAGAGGTTCAAATCCAATTCCGCTTGGACCCAAACTCTCTAACTTAAATTAAATCTTAAAATAAACTATTAAATAGATCTAATTTGTAGAAATATGGTGGGGATGGTTGAATTACCTTTTTACCCTTAATGGCAATAAAAATAGACACTTTTACCCCTATATGGGCTTACCGGGTTTCGGACTCTAATCTAAGTCCTTTACTCACTCAAAGAATATTATTTGGGTTTAAAAAGCATTTTCACATAGATCTAAACTCTCATTACACTTACAATTTGTTAATTTGTAAAATGGTCCCGGTTCCGGTTTTACAACTTTTATCAGTGTAGACCTCATGCTAGGTGACTAACTTATAAGGAGTTTAATCCTTTAGTTTTCTCTCATTTAGGACACTGGAATAACATCCTAAACAACCCCTAAATATTCAGTAACACCTCCAGGAATTAAACATGATTAATTAAGATAATTAAAATTTATTAGTGTGTCTAATTTGATTTAATTAATTAATTATGTTCATTAAATGTTTCTAATATGTAAGTTTAAATATGTCCAAGGGATTTAAAAATTGCAATATTTATATTTTCACCCTAGAGGTATGTGGAAACACTTTCTGATCTATTTTTCTAAATATTTTTGATGTCTATCCACTTCTTTTCTTTTTCTTTTCTTTCCTTTTCTTTTTCCTCTTATTTTCCTTTTCCTTTCTTCTTTTCCCCCTTCCTCCCATAACTCTCTCTCTCTCTCTCTCACAATTTGTCACCATTTCTCAAGAATCTTGAATCAAAGAGGAACTTTAAGAAGTTTTCAACCTCAAGGGAAGGATTTGGGGTAAGATTTCTGAAAAACTTCTCTTGAAATCTTGAATTTTCCTTTGATAGAACTTATTTTCAGTTTGAGTTCAGATTTGAAGAGTTTTGGTTAAAATCCTGATAAGAATTGGGGATCTTTGGTTCTATAGACTTGATTTAGTAATTGGAACCTGAATTTGGTAGTTTTCCCTTGAAATATCTCGACATTGAACTCATATTTGCAAGTTTTAGAGTTTTTCTTCGCAGTTCGGCCATTTTTCCACGAACTACAGAACTCCACCAGTCTACCAGTGGAGAACAATTCTCTGTCACCAGTCGACCGATGCACATGTGATTTGAACCAAATTTATCTTAAAACCCTACTCTGACCCTGATTTTCAAAGAGAACCCAAATTAGCTTCATTTGGGAACTTAAGGGAGATGGATTAGCATCTTTAATCTATGTTTTGAGATCAAAATCTTTGGAATGATGATTTGAGTCATGAATTGATTATGAAACTTAGAATTTGATTAAGGCACACTAATAGGAAATCAACATGTACGATTAAGACTGATTCATTTTAGGAATGAGGATTGAACCCTAAAATGTTGTTTTGTGTAAATGCTAGTTGAAGAATCGGGTTGAAGGTTTTGAGGAAGCGGAGGCTAGGATAGCACAACACTAGCAATAGGTTTGGTATTTAAGAGGTAGCATTTCTTGTTATTTTCTTTGATAGCCTGTTTTTAAGAGTTTTGACCTGTACAAAATGTTTTAAAGAAAGGACATGATTGATAAAGAAAAATATTTTGACACAATAGCTTGATTTTAGCTATTGGAATCATAATGAACTGTTTTAAAGGTTTAATGAATATTTTCTAGATAGGATATGCATGGTGTATCTTCGGGGGCGGAACCCGGAACCCGGAACCTGAACTGGGCCACTACGGTGGTGTTAAAGCTTGTGCTTGTGGTTGTGTAAGTAAATTATCATAGTATAAATTATTTACTAATGCGTGTAATACGGAATCTAAATTTTATACTTCCTTTCAGATTTTAACTTTCTATTTTTTTATGGAGTAAGATGTGGAATTATGACCCATTAGGGTCATGTGTGCAACCACAAGTTCTGATTTTTCTTTTAAGAATGAAAATAATTAGCCACGTGGGGCCTACATAGTCCATTTGAAAGAATTAGGAATTGATTATCGGTTGAATGATTTTATAAATATGATGGTGATCAGGGGCCTATCGATTATCCTAAGTTTTCGATATCAACTAAAGTAACTTTGGGCATGTTCTTTTGTCTAAAAAATTTAAAAAAAGATAACTCAAGTTTTAACTTTATTCAAGTTCACGTTCTTTTAAGTTTCAACTTTATTCAATTTTACTCAACTTTATTCAAGTTCTAACTTCAACTCAAGTTATAACTCAAATTCAACTCAAAAACTACACTCAAGTTACACTCCAAAAAAATAACCCCAAAAGAGTTTAATCATCTTTTGATGTGTTAATATTAAGAAATTACCGCTAACAAATAAAAAGATAACGAAATATCAAATTATATTTATGCGTTATCAATAGTACTAAAACACTTCTCCTTAAAAATAATATTGAAAAATTAACACTAGACTAATTAAGATAGTTATAAGAATTCCAAGTATTATGTCGGCACAAAATATATTTCCCTGTACCTAGATCTATATCTCTATATTTATGTCTTTTTTTGGCAAAGCAAGGAAATAGTGTTAGTTTCTCAAATCGGATTTTAAAAAAAAAAAATTGTGTAAAAGTGTGGTATCCATCGAATCACGTAAATTAAAATTTAATGTTGTCATTGTTTTATGTTAATTTAACTACAAATAAATCAAAGAGACGAAAAGAATTTTACCGTCGTTCAATTAAGATGTTAATCTTGAACTCTTCCAACACCATCTTGAGCTTTTAAATTCTAAGAACACCACGACTCTTTTTTAACGTATCTCCAGATCAACGTGAACTCGTACGTGTGGGCGTTCTAATAGATTTCTCAATATATAAGAATGATGAATGAGAAGGTCACTTATGACTATTACTCATTTTTCTTAAAAGTATGTGATATTTCTCATAGTCTTTTCTCTGTATTGTTTTTTTCTCTAATTTTTAGCATCTCATCCTCAAATAATACGTACTATTACTTATAAAGAGATATTAGAGAAACTTTTTTAATTATTTAGTTTAAACAATTTAAATTAAATATCCTTCCACTACCACACTTAGTGAGATTTTCTCACCCACTCTCTCTCTTTTACGTGCAGCTTTTTGGTTAAGAGAATAAATATATAGGAATTGTCTCTAATCTAGTATTGAATTAAAACAGTATATGTATATTTATTTTTAAATATATATATTTTTAAAAATATGTATATTTTTTTTTAAAATATGTATATTTTTTTTTAAAATGTGAATAATATGAATAAATACTTATAATTTATTTAAATACTTATATACATATTTTTAAATATATATATACCGCTCTAATTCACTATCAGTATCATAGAGACTTTACCCAACTATATATATGATCGACAAAAAGCAAAAGCCTTTTGAAAAAGTTCCTCAATATGAGGAACAAGATTCTGCACGTTTTTCTTTTTCTTTTTTTCTTTTTTTTTTTGTTTGTCATCACGACTGAATTCCATTCGGCCAAAAAATATATAAATAAATACTTTTCTCATAATGAAAAACGCGGGGAGCTTATGGGTGTGAGAAAAAAAATTCTCTCTTTTATAGTGATTAGATTCATTACAATTTAAAATTAATTTTAATTTTAAATAAACATATTAATTAATCAAATTAATTAATATGTGTATTTAAAATTCTCAACTTTAAATTAATAATCATAATCCAATATCATATATAGTTCACAATAATCTTATAGAACCGTTGAGATGAACTATGAGCATTATAATTTTAAGCTCCAATATTTTTGATAATTAATTTACATCTTAATTAATATATCAAAATTATTAATTTCAAATTACTCCACTATAAATTTAGAATTGCACTCTTAAAATTATAAAACAATTATGTTCACGGGATTTGTATTGTCCATTGATATAGTCACTACATACAAATTAATCCTCTATAAACGGTTCATAATTAAAGCTAGGAAATTTTTGTTGACCTCTTTAATTATATCTTTATCCATAAGTACCATTGATCCTCTAATAAATAATATATTTTATGATCCAATCATAAACTTGAGTGCTATTATTATTCAAGCTTCGAATCAACACTTATGGGAACCGTACATCTACTTCATTACGAAAGAATGGATTTAATCTTGTAAATTAATATTCTCGGCTATTTATTTTATTATGCTCTTAATATACCAAGACTTTGACACTATTCATATGTGTCATTACTCAATATGTCAAATAACCTAATATCATAAATATGAGTCTATTAATTACTCAGAATTAAGATTAATTCATATATGACCATCATTGATAATTAATATTGAATGCTCGATTTCATAATAGAATTTATTAGAGATTCATAATTAATCACGTTCTGATCCTATGTAATCATATTACATAAAGTGCTTTCATTTCAATAATCTCATTATTAATAATCTAGAATAAGATTGTTTCATTCAGAATGTAATAAACTGCACTAGTAATTTTAAATTAAACATCCCAACTTTAATTTATAATTACGAACAAGTTTATATTATTTTACTTCAAACATTATCCTCTGTATATAACACTTATATATAATTTTTAAAGTTACATCTAAAATAATTTAGAGATTTTTTATATTTATAAAACATCACACGCATACAAAATAATATTAAAAAAAATTCCTCATTTCATTAATAATCAGTAAAATATTTATATTTTATTTGATTTATGGGCAAATACAAATAGTTTCCTTAATGGACTATTACAAATATATATAGAAGAATAGTTTGAAAGCGAATACAATAAAATAAGAAAAGCGAATTCAATAAGTATAATGAAGCAATTGATATATTTTATAAGTGAAAGTTCTCAAAGTTCTCTCCTATATTCGTTTATAACTTGTAAGAAATACATTCCACGCAACAATATAAACACATGGGGTGCATTTAAAATTAGATTTTATCTCAATTTTGTTAATTAAACTAAAAAAGTGTACTAAAGGCTAGGGTAAAAAAAATGTATTAAAGAAATAAATTTAATTTAGTGTGGACGTTCATGAATTTAGTGGGGGCAAAACCTCCATAAAAGCGTGGCTTACCTTCACAAACTAAAGTCTAATATCAAGCAACGCATCAAACTATAAAAGTGTGGCTAAACTTTCAAATTTACTCACTAAAACCAAGCAATTGCAACACAAAAAAAATGGCTCAATTCCAATGCCTATCAAAAACACATATTCTTGTTCTTCACACAACCCTATTATTAACAATCTTCCAAACACATAATTTCCACTTCTCTTGTTCCTCAAAACCAACATTAGGGTTTAGCCTAAAACTCATCCCAAGAGACTCCCCAGAATCGCCTTTATACCCCGGTAACCTAACTCAAATCCGACGCGTGGAAAGGCTTATCAACTTCAGCAAAGCCAGAGCTCGCTATCTTAAATACTCAACAACTTCTTCAACAATCATGAGCATTAGTAATGGCACCAAATCGAGTTTAGAATTATTAGAAGCCGGAAAGATGTTCATGGCCTTATATCGCGGCGGTTTCTATTACGTGGTTGAGACGGTCATCGGCTCTCTACGAGATACGCAATTCCTCCTCATGGACACCGGCGCAGGCCTGGTGTGGACGCAGTGCATGCCTTGCACAAGGTGTTATACACAGCCCACTTCCCTCTACGATTCCAGACGTTCTACTAGTTACCGAAAGCTTCCTTGTGATCACTTCCTTTGTCGTGGTAAGGCCAACTTCATATAAAGTTTTTTAAAAAAAAAGAAATACGTCTCATATCTTAATTAAACTTAATTTTAAATAATATTATTCTTAATTGTTTTTTTAATTGTTATAATTTTTAAAAAAAATATGAGAAGACAAGAAAATATTTCAAAATGTTTTAAACTCAAATTTTAGGTTATGATCGTTGGTCAAGCCAAGATCGCCATCCAGCTGGGATCGATGGTCAGACAACAACTTAATGAGATTAATTTTTCTTCTCATATAACGGACCATGTCATGATACAATATAGAGTTATTTATGATAAATATGATTATTAGCTTTTTGGCAAAATTGTTTTGGATGATTAAAGTGTTCCCAACTTTCCCATTTTCTTTGTTATTCTCCTTTTTTTGAATCAACAAGTGTACGGTCCTTCAAATATGCTTAAAATTTCTTGAACATTTCCAGAACGTGATCACGAATTCTCACTCCAGTGTTTCTTGGCAATGAATTTTAAGATTTATTGCCCTAGAGCAAAAACATTGTATCTATCTACGACATTTATCATACAATAAAAGTTCTTTTTATTTATTTATTTCATGTATTAATTGTCTGAGTTAGCCTCCATGAGTTTGATTGAAAATTTTTGACAAGCAAACAAAAATACCAAGACTACTAATAGAAAACCGCCTAGTCTAAGGACAAACTTAGTATGGAGGCTCTTTAGTATAAAAAAAATAAAAAATAAAAAAAATAAAAAAAATAAAAAAATAAAAAAATAATTTATAATTATGATTAATAATGTAAATATAAGGACAAACTTCAAGATTATCTATCTCATTTATATGTGGTTACTTACTCTATTTCTATTCTCTTCACAAATCTCACTTAGTTAATATGAAAAAGAAGCATGCATCTAGTAGTCGGTTTTTCTTTTATTTTTTTTATTTTTTAAGTCGGTTGCATCGTTGGTTCTTGATCTAATGACATTATGACACTTTATTTTCTAAACTTTTTATTTTGATAGTTTGTGTTCTTTCAACTTTAATTTGTTTTTGGCAGTTTTAGTCTTTAACATTAAAATTAACAAAGGATTTTTAAAATTTAACAGAGATAATTGCACCCCCAAACACTTGATAACTTAAAATTTAATAACAATAGTTGATTAGGTGCAAAATAATATCTGCACTGTTTTTAACAAATCCTTTACTTTTTGGCATTAAACTGTCACAATTTTTGGGATTCAAGGATTTAACTAATACTGTAATAATAACCCCCTTTTTTTCTACAAAAGTTAATTAGGATCTAATTTTTTTTAAGAAGCTGTTATTAAATATTATATACACTATTTTTCTTCTTTGTGTACACTAAAAACTAATATATAGCATGAAGCATGTTCATTGTGTCTGAACTACAGTTTAGACTTGTGTGCGCCAAAAAAAAAAAAAAAAAAAAACACCAATTTATTAAGGTTCACCTAATTATCCACACACACGGATATATATATATATATATATATATATTATATTCGTTTATTCATTGAAAATAATTTTTTGAATCTTTCACCTATCAAGGTTCTCAAGCCCTATATCAATGCATCAATAAAGAATGTGTCTATGACATCAAATACGGTCATGGCGCGGGTCCCACGAAAGGTGTGGCCTCTTTGGAGACCTTCTATTTTGCGTTGAACGCTGGCGTCGTTCAAGCTTTTAACGGCATAATCTTCGGTTGCTCCAACGACAACATGAATTTTGAGTTCAAAGACACCCCAATTTCCGGGATCATGGGCCTGAGCTGGTCTCCCGACTCGCTTGTGTCCCAACTGGCCCACTCCATACAACGTAGGTTCTCTTATTGCCTTGTGCCGTACGACGAAGGGCGGGCCGTGCCCAGTTTGCTCACTTTTGGTGGCGCCATTCCAAGCCCAATTGGTAATCTTCAAACTACTAAATTTCTTAAAACTCCTATTAATATCTACCACTTTTACCTTAATTTGTTGGACGTAAGTGTTGGTGGGAACAGAATTGGGTTCCCTTCGGATACATTCAAGCCCAATCAAGATGGTAGTGGGGGTATATTTATAGACTCAGGGTCAATTTTGACTTTTGTCAACAATGAAGATTTGCCCAACGGAAGAAATCCATATGAGGAAGTAATTGGGGCGTTTCAAAGGCATTATGACTCTTTTAACCTCAAGAGAAAGGAGAATGTGCCCGAAAGGCTTGAACTATGCTATGAAAAGCCTGGGGATTTCAGTCATTTTGCTACAATGACGTACCATTTCGATGGGGCTGATTACATTGTTGAGGGCAAATATGCAAACCATTTTAACAATGTTGATGGATATTTCTGTGTGGCGTTGCTTGGGGGAAATAGAATATCAATACTTGGAGCTTGGCATCAGCAGAATAAAAGGATTATTTATGATGGTAACATTGATTCACTGCATTTCATTGATGAGAAATGCATATGACTTTTCTGGATTATGTATCATCTTTTATTCCAAGATAGGATAAGTTTAGTTTTATGGATATTTCTAAATGCTTTTTTATTGAAAGAATATGAGAACTTTTGACAAATACTCCTTAAAATGGTACTATTAAGGATTTTTATGTCTCAACATTAGCTTATTAAATTTTACCTTTTTAGAGTAAGTAATTTAACAAATTATTATCGATAATTTGACAGAGATCGCCGGCGGTGAGTCTCCGATCGCTAGTGGCGGGCGTAATTTAATAGATTATTGTCTAAAATGTGACAAATTATTATCTATAATTTGACAGATTATTATCAAAGAGGTAGTCTATCAAAGCAAAAGGGTAGAGTTCCAAAAGGATATGGTTTTTGTAATTTTCTCAAAGAATATTGTGGGCCACTTTATTAGAAGATATTAATAACAATAATACACAGGTTCTGATTCCTTTTATGCTGTCGGGATGCTTTTTCCCAGCAGCGTGTCGTAAAGAAATGGCGATCGTTGGATTAAATTTAACGATCGAATTCTAAAATTAAAAAAGTAAATAATTAAAAAGTAACTTGATCAGCTGGTTATAAGAAACAAAAAAACTTGCTCAGCTCGTTGTAAAAGAGGAATAAATTTTTTTTACTCAAATGATAACACTCTTTATCTCTTCTCTTTCCTCCTCTTAAAGCAATTTTTCATCACATTGCCTGTCTATGGGTTGGCCGAAGAGGACAGTAGAAGAGTGATAGTACTCTTTAAAATTGGAATCGCCACAAATCAAAGGAAGAAGGAAAAACAATAGTTGGTGGATTTTGTTAACTAAAGAAAGACAAAAACTCTTGGGCTTGAAAGAGAAGGTTGGAGAGAGAGAGAGAAAAGATGACTGACGATCGTCGCCCAAAAATGACCATCTCCATGATGGCATGCCTAAGAAAAAATATTGCCAGAAATTATATAAAAGAAATATAATCAAAAAGTTGATTTGTTTAAATGAAAATATTGCCAGAAATTATATAAAAAAAAAATAGTCAGAAAGTAGTGATACATATAAACTATTTTACTTTATTATTTTTATTATTTGGGAGACAGCACTTTTTTGTTTCTACTGAAATTCAACAATCGTGCAAGTTTTGTAGAGAGTTAACAGTTATATTTTCAAAAGTTTGCCGATCGTTACGCATATTAGACGATCGTTAAAAGTTTAATGAAATCATTAATAAATATATTTCTGTTAAAGGAAACGAAAAAAATATATGATAATAAATGAAAAATCTATTAAATTTTATGAAACATCGTATAATTATATTTCTTGTATGTTATGATTAAGTTGTAAATTTAATGACGGGTGAAATAATAAATTTAAAAAATGTTCTTTCCACGTTAGATCTTCAGTTAAGAAACGTAAAATGAAAATAAAAAATGGCAACCGTTTGGTATAGGAAACGATGTGTAAGACAAAGTAAAGGATTGAAGTGTAAATTTTACGGTCTTTGAGATATTCATACGATAGTTGGTAAAGCACACGATATTTTGGGTAACATTTTTTTGATGAAAATGAAAAACTTTTTGTTCATTCAGGATAGTTTATATTTTTAAGGTTTTTTTTTTTTTTAAGTATGACAACCGTTGTGTGAATAACACAGAAAGCCTGCAAAAGCTTACGATATTTTATTCAAACTTTATAATGGAACGGTAAAAGTTTTTATAAAGAAAAGGGAAATAGTAAGAAATAGGCCAATATAAAAAATTTAAGAAAGTATATAAGTCAACTTTTAGTTATAGAAATTAATAGGTCATAATTTGTCAAGTTATGATTCATAACTAGATAAGTTATGGACAAACTTGTCAAGTTATGGTTTATAGCCAGACAAGTTATGGATAAAAACTGGAAATAACTTATCAAGTTATGATTCATAACCAGACAAGTTATGGATGAAAACAATAATTTAACCTATTTATTAACTTATGTAAATTATTGACCTATTAATTTTAATTCATTTTAAATTTTGGTCTATTTTCCTCTTTCTCCCTAAAGAAAATGCTTGTGAACAGGGGCGGAGCTACATTGAGCCTTGGGAGGCAGCTGCCCTCGGGCCTAATGGCTCCGTCTATTTTTACAACCCAAATTTTTTTTACTATTTTTATTAATTATTTGCCCCTAAAAACTATAAAAATGCAATAATGAGGTAGAATTTTTCAATAGTTTCAGTTGTACCCTGATATTTTAACGAAAAAAATATATATGTTTAAACGTAAAAAAACTATTTTAAAAAAGTTCATAAATTTTTTATTCACAAAAAAATAATCATAAAATTTTAACATACATTCAATAAAGTGGGACACCGTATAAAAAAAAGGTCTTATATTTGTAAATCTTCTGGTCCGATATTCATTATATATGAAGTAAGTTAAAACTTGATTAGCAGGAAAAAAAAAAAAAAAAACAAAGGTCAGCTACAGCTGTACAAATATTAGGCTATATACGTGTGAACAACTAAACTGAAATAATACCCAACAAAAAAATGTACATCTTATGTACAGTTGTATAAATATTAGGCTATATACGTGGCTTGGCATGAACGAATAAGAAGAAAAAGAGCCCATCCCAGTATGCGATCGTCATCTATGAGTCTATGACTACACGATCGTTGATGTCTGTACTTAGATTCATTTAATTCGTTGATTTAAATTTTTAATTTGAGTTAAAATATAATTTTATTTAAAAATTTTTTATTGTAATAAAAAAATTTAAATGTGATTATTTTTAAAAAAATTTTATTGTAACCAAACTCAAATTAGTAAAATAAACGGGATCTAGATTGCTTTTCATTATCCTTCTCTGCTTAAGCTTCTTTATTTTAATGTTGATTTATGTTGTCATAAACTTTATGTTTTTTTTTAAAATATGTATGGTACTCTTTGGTCATCCGATCGTCTTTGTAGGATGTGTGATTTTCATCATTATACCACGATCGCTATAGATTCATGGCTCTAGACTTCTCACATTTATACACACAACCAATGTTCAGGAACACAAAAGAATGAGTTTTAAAACTTGTCCGGGTACACTAAGGAATGTCTTCAATCGCGTTTTTTGTTTTATTGATCATTGAGCATATTTAGTTGGAGGATTCAAACTATAATTTAAATCATGATTCATAATTTGTTATAATATTTTTTTTTATAAAAAATACATATAAATTAAAAATAATTTTAATCACATAATTTTAATTTATAAACCAAACGTCTGTCTCTCGAATAAGTTAAAACTTAAACGATTGTTGTCTTCTAGTTTCTTTTTTCATTAATTGCCCTCACCTATTTAACCGGTTGTCCTTATATATATATATATATATATATATTATTGGTCACGTGTCTTCTCCTCCTTTCACGGGCACGCTATTGGGAAAAAGCATCCCAGTAGCATAAAAGTTTCCCAATGAGAGTAGCAGCCATGGGAATCTACTTTAAACAATTTGAAACAATTATGAATTAATTATCCGGTTGAATTATTCTCAGAGGATGTAAAAGAAGTAATAAAAAATAAAATGATAAAAGCATAATATTAGAGAGAATAAATGATCTTATTTCAACTTTTTATATCGACATAACAAATGATTTAACCATGCACCAAAATTTCACATAATTCTAAGGTCTCGAAATATATTTCAAGGGTAAAAACATTTCCCAGATATTTACCAAAATTTACCAAAAATAGTTGTGAGAATTTATTTATTTAGTTATTTACGATACCCAAAAGATAATTTGAGATCTCAAAGTTCTGAAATTTTGGTGGAAATTTTAGAAATATTGGAGAAATTTCACACAAATTTTTAGGAAAACTTCTACTAGAATTTAGGTTGAAGACAAATGGAATAAAAAAAAAAACACATGAGCTCACTTAAATCCCTCCACTTTTCCATTCTTTTAACAAAAAGTTTAATAGAGAGTTTAGCGGGGCTAAATCAAAATTTAAGAAGTATAATAAGAGTTTTTAAAGTTAAGCAAATAAAAAGTAGGAACGACCTCAAAATTAAGGGGTGTAATGGTGTATTTTTATAATAAGAAAGAAAAAATAGTATTTAAACAAAATACATGAGATGTTTTAGGTATTTTTTTTCTTATAAATATGAAAAGATATGTCAAATGATCAAATCATGATTGATATGTTCAGTTCTTGTTAGACAAATTAGGACAATTATTAAGACTCTTAGCATCATTCCATCTTAAAATGTAACTGCCTGAATCTAGTATATTTTATTGTTGAAAAAAAATTTGAGTAAAAAAAAAGGTCAAAAAGGACTAAAATGAATAAATAAATAAATTTCAGAGTAAAAGGAATCAAAACGAAAAATATAAAGTTTGAGAGAAAAAAATAAAAAAAATGTTAAAAAGGACTAAATTGAAAAAATAAATAAGTGCAGGGTAAATGAACAAAAAGGGGAAAATAAAGTTTCAAGATGAAAATAACAAAAAAGGGTTAGAAAAAGATTCAAAATGAAGAAATATATAAGTTATAGGGCAAAAGGAAGAAAAAGGGAAAAAATAAAGTTTCAAAGCAAAAATAAGAAAAAGTGGTCAAGAAAAGGTCCAAAATAAAAAAAAAAATAGTTTTAGGGCAAAATGAATTAAAAATGAGAAAAAATAAAGTTTCAAGGAAAAAATAAAAAAAAATTTGATTAAAAAACTAAATGAATAAATAAGTAAGTTTTAGGGTGCAAGATAAAAATACAAATAAGTTTTAAAGCAAAATGAACTAAAACGGGAAAAAAATAAAGTTTCAAGATAAAAATAAAAATGGTCCATGAAAAAACCAAAATGAAAAAATACGTACGTTTTAGGACAAAAGGAATAAAAATGGAGAAAAATAAAGTTTCAGAGCAAAAAAAAAAAAGGGTCAGAAAAAGTTTAAATTGAAGAGATAAATAAGTTTTAGGGCAAAATGAATAAAAAGGGAAAAAATAAAATGTTAGGACGAAAATAAGAAAAAAAAAATGGTCAATAAAGGTCTAAAATGGAAAAAAAAAAAAAAAAATGAGAGGAGGCGATTTTTCGACCAATACATCACCGTGTTGGTCGGAAAAACGAGTGAACAGGAAATCACATTGTGCTTTCTATTATATAGATATATGTGTGTGTAGATTTTTTTTTTTTTTTTTTCTGGATTGGATTGATATTATCACAAATAGTACTTCAAAAACCAAAATCTAGTAAATATTTTATTGATGGTAACATTGATTCAATGTCGAACTTTTTTTTTTTTCTTTCTTTTTTTCCTTTGTTGCAGGCCAGAGCTAACTTTACTGTAAACACCAACATAAGCATATAATTAAGTTCATATAATTACATTTTCAATAACCAACTAATTAATTAATTATAGGACGTACTTCTGCAAAGGATTAAGGTAGCGACAAAATATATAGGCGATTTTTCTTTTCTTTTATGTTTTCTTTTCTTTTTTTTCTTTTTTTTTATTTTTTTTGTTGCTAATGAGGCAATTTTGTCATTTAGTCCTGGCTGTTGTCTGCTTCAGAAAATTTTGCACGTGATAAATGATGAAAGTTATTTCCTTTCTTTTTTTTTCTTTACCCTTTTGTTAAATAATTATTTTTTCACCGGAAAAGAAAATACAAACACTTGCTAGCCATATAATACATGACGAATGACGATAACAAATTTTCGTCTTTAGAGAAACAAGAGTTTTGCTTCTTGTCTACGAGACTTTCTTTGACGGGACTTCTATACGGATAAAGTCAGTTTGTGATTGTTATATTGGATTAAAATATTATGTTAAAAATATATTCACTTCGCAGATTTAAATTTTTAATTCGAGCTGAAATGTGATATTTTCTGAAATTTTTTTACTAAACAGAAAAAGTTAAATGTGACATTTTCTGAGAATTTTTACTGTAAAAACTTAGAATTAAAAACTCAAATCAGTAAAATGAACGATGCCTTAATAATTTAGAATAGTGAACTATTGATATATATATATATATCTTTTTTTTTTTTTTGATTTTATAAGAAAAACAACCTTCGTCTCCAAGCAAAATACATTAAGCTATTACTTTTATATTGAGATAATATTAATTTGGTACTTTTTATTATATTAAAATATTAAATTAGTATTATGTGTTTCTCATAATATTAAAATGATACATTAACGTTTTTAAAAACATCTTATTAATACTTTATAACTAATTTTTTAGATATAAAATAACTTTAAGACCCTTCTATTTAATAATTAAAAAAAACTAATAAATTTAAGAAGAAATTCATATTCCTCTAAAACAAAGTTTCGAAATCTTTTCTATTTTTGAACTAAATTTCTAAATCACATCAATAATCAATAATCTTATGCCCTATTCATTTCACCAATTTTAATTTAGAATTCAAGTTTTGTTACAGTAAAAAGTTCTAAAAAACAGTTACATTTAACTTTTTTACTACAGTAAAAAACTCTCATATAAAATCATATCTAAACTCGAATTTACAAACTAAACGGGCTTTAGAAACAAATCCAAAAACCAAAAATCATTTCATTCAAGATGGAACTTCGTACAAATCTACTATTGGAATCCCAATAGAAATGATCTATTGAACATAAATAAATAGCTTCGACGGGTGACGAAGGGGGCACTAAACCGATATCGATGGTCGCGCTAGATCTGCAGAGGCCAGACCCGTAGCAAGAGTCGCATGCCCAGAGCCCCGATCAAACTATGGTTGATGAGGCTGGAGCGCGCCGTTTTTGAGGATGCTAAACACTGTGATCCAAGTACGGATCTGAAAGCCTTGCCCAAGTCGAAGAAGACCGGAGATCCCGTGGGGAGCTTCTTCTTCAGCGGGAGCACTGCGATTGATCGGGTTTTGCGCTGTGAGGGTGGGGAGAGGGGAAGAGCAGGGGGCATAGGGAGGGGCCGGCGAGCAGGGGGCGACGGAGTGGAGGGAGATATGAAAAAATCTAAAAAGGATTTGAAAATTTGGGATTTTGTGGGTTTTTCAAATTCCAGATTTGACAACTTTTTAAGAAAAAAATATTATTTGTGAAATATTAATTCTGTTTTTTACTTTTCATTTTTTAAAAGATATTTTAGACTTTTTATGTCCTAAAAAATAACCTCAAAGTACCGAAAAGATGTTTTTAAAAATATCAATGTATCATTTTAATATTATTAAAAAAAAATTACCTCAATATTTTGTTATAATATAAGGTACCAAATTAATTTTATTCCTTTTATATTTTATTCCATTTGACAATATCTATTTACAATTCTCTCTCGTATTCACAAATAAATAAATTGCAAAAATAAAAAACAATGTTATATTAACATCATTTTTTAATAAAAGATGAGTTTCAGAGCATGAGGTTCATAGTAAGAATCTACCTTCTACTAATAGTGGTGTTAGTGCCCCAAACATTTTTCAAAGGTAAGTGTTATTAGATTAAATTTTCTCAGGGGGAAAAAAAAAAAAAAAAAACTAAAAAAATCAAAAGAACTAGAAGTCTAGAAATCTTTCTCAACGTCTTAGCCTTACACGTCTATGTCTCGGTGATAACAACACTCAATTGACAAAAAATGAAAAGATAAGTAGAAACTGCATCTATTGATCCTGGCCAATGGCCATGCACAATTTGAAGAAAGAAACCAAACAACACAATCGCCGTTCTTACATTGGAGATATTACTAATTGAAAGGCACAATTCTGTTCACCAGGTTTTATTTGTTTTAGGGCAACGAATTTGACATTTTTTACCCCCGAATTTTTCATGACGATATAAGAAGTTGCCCCTTAAATTGTTTTATTTTGGTAAATTACACCTTGAATTAAAGAAAGTGTTGTATTGTTCTTCCACATCAATATCCACAGTTATTAAAATTTGGATGATTATACCCTCGTATTTGTCAAGTGACGGCCACGTTTGAAGGCAAAAAATTAAAATTTTGAATAACGGCAAATAAAGCACGTCATATCACATGCATTAGGACGTCTTCTTTCAAATTTTAGCATCATTCATCAATTTGAAAATACCCCACAACTTTTATAAAGTCCACAAATAGTTTTACTATAAATTAAAAATTTAGAAGACAACTTGCTACATGATTTAAATTCATTCAAGGGCAAAAGAATTAAAATCCTGAGGCTCATGATATACAAGTTTCTAACCCACGGCTATCTCCCAAAGAGTTAACAGAAAAAAACAGAAAATATTCTTCAACTGGTCAAGACTCATGCATTTGTTTGGCTGCGTAGTGTAACTTGTATGTAACCACATAGAGAAAATAATCACCAAGCCATGCCACGGCCTTATTGTTTTTAATATAATTGTACAGATATATATATATATATATATATATATATCTGTGTGTGTGTGTGTGTGATTACCTCTTTGTATTTACTCACACCCACCCAAAGAAGTATACACATCATGAGTAATTAATCCAAATTTGTAATTTTCTTTGCGTACAAAGAAATTTCTTTTCAAAAACAACCTTCACATGATCACATCATTAGCCATAAATTTAGGCCCCGTTCATTTCGTCGATTCGAGTTTAGAATTCGAGTTTTACTACAGTAAAAAGCTCTCAGAAACAGTCACATCTAACTTTTTTACTACAGTAAAAAGCTCTCACATAAAATCACATCTCAACTCGAATTACAAACTCAAATCAGCAAAGTGAACGGGCCCTTAGTATTGCTTCATGTGATAGCATGTGAAGCAACATTTCAACATTCTCACTAAAAAGAATGACCGTAGCCCGTCTGATTTGTTTGGAAATCCTCTTTCTCCACCTCCTTATACTACTACTCCTCGTCTACAACAACAATTTTCTCAATCACAAACCTTCAGGATTCAGCCTCAAGCTCATTCCCCGGGGCTCGCCGGACTCGCCTTTCCGCCCCGAGAAGCTTACCGAACGGCAAAGAATCCAAAGAATCGCCGAGGTCTCGAGAACTAGAGCTTACACCCATTTAAGAAACTCATCACCATCCTCAACCCCAAAAATTACCAACATTAGTCCCACATTGGACACAGAAAACTTCCATCTTCAGATTCTTAAAAAGGATTTTTTCTACACCGTGCAAGTTTTTATAGGCACCCCAAGAGCCCCACAAACACTCCTAATGGACACAGGAAGTGGCCTAATTTGGACACAATGCAAGCCTTGTAAAAACTGTTTTAGCCAAACAAAAAATATTCCTATTTTCACCCCCAACGTCTCTACTTCTTACAAAAGACTCCCTTGTAATCATCAACTTTGCCTTGAAAGTCACCAATGCGTCGACGGGAAATGTGTCTACAGCCAAGGATACGCCGGTGGGTCGGTGACAAACGGCGTCGTTTCTCAAGAAACCTTTAGCTTTCCTTCAAACAACAACGGAGGTTTTAGGGCAGTAGAGAATGTCGTTTTTGGCTGCTCAAACGACAACAAGAACTACATGTTCAATTCCATTTCCGGAATCTTGGGACTGAGTTATTCACCTGATTCGTTAGTGTCCCAATTGGGAAATTCAGTAAAAAAGCGCTTCTCTTACTGTTTGCCTTACTCCTATAGTCCCATGATGGTCAATACTGTCCTCAGATTCGGAAACGACATCAAAAAATCACCACTCGCCAAAACAACGTCGTTTGTGCAAAAAAGTAATGGCACTCAGTTACACCATTACTACTTGAACCTTGTAGACATAAGCGTCCAAGGACGTCGTTTAGGGTTGCCGCCGGGGACGTTCGCGCTGTCGCAAAACGGCAAAGGAGGCTGTGTCATCGACAGCGGCTCGGTGTTGTCGTTTCTCGACGACAAGGCCTACAACGTCGTTATGGCAGAATTTGAGAGCTATTTTCGACGGTTAGGATTGGAGAGAGCTCGCAATCTGACCGTCGGATTCGAGTACTGCTACAGACTAGAGAAAAAAATCAATGATCACGATGACTTTGGTGGGTATGCGGATTTGACATTCCATTTTGAAGGAGCTGATTTTTTAGTGGAACCGAAATACATGTATTTCTACAACAGAAGAGGGAAGTATTTTTGCGTGGCGTTAATGGCTTTTCCCGGGAAAACTATAATAGGAGCTTGGCAACAGCAAAACACAAGGTTTGTTTATGATCTCAACTTGCATCAACTCCAGTTTGCTCCTGAAGATTGCGCGAAGGACCAAATACCTTGATTATTTGTGATCTTTCTTTGTAAATTATAGTTTGTTGTTTTTTAATTCTCATAGCCATATATGTGTGTCTATATATATATATATATACACATCAATTAATTAAATAAATATGGATTGAAAAGTTGAACTATATGTATGTAAATAGACATTGGCCATTATATATATATATATATGTGTGTGTGTGTGTGTGTGTGTTTATATGAGACGAGTTTTCAGTGATTACATATTGGAATAGTGGTTTAATAATGAGTGATAAAAATCTAATTATAACATATATTATAATATAGTATAAGAAAAAATTACTAATTTATACATTGTTATTCTTATTGGTTGTTTTGACTTTATATGTATTTATTTATTGTTTTTATTATTATTATTATTATTATTGAAAATGTTTGATTTTGACTTTAGGTAATGTGTGCAATTATGTCATGTTGTATGAGGACCATGTATAGTGTTCCATATCAATGAATTCTGTCTCTTTTCTTCGTTCTCGAGTATAATTACAACGCTGAATCATGTTAAATCTTTACATTTTTTTCTTCCTCTTATTTTCTTGTTTAATTTCTAATGCATACAACTATAGTTCTTTCTCATGGAATTAGGTTATAATGCTCATGAATGATATGTGGGAACGCCTACATCGATTAGACGAGGGTTACATTGGTTTTGCAAACTAAAAACGTAAAAATTTGCAGAAGCGTAATAAAACGATTGGATCATTTTAGTGCACATATGTAAATCAAAGAGAAGATTTTCAACGTTGTCCAATTAAGACGATGACTTGATAACTTGAGAATCTTGATTTCCTAACGAACAATTCGTCTCTCCTTTGAATCCTTAGAGCTATTCACACCAATTTCCAGAACTATCTGAACTGACATGTGGGCATCTTTAGAAAACTAATAATATCTTAACGCATGAAAAAACATTCTTTATTTCTGTAAAATAGTTTCTCTTTTGAACTCGAATCCACAATAAAGAATCAAGAGTTTTCCTTCTCCTTTTATTCCTCTCACAATAGCCACCATCATCAACAACACATCCACAAAAACGACAACATTAAATGATAATATATCAAGAGAGAATAGCAATTATAACAGAGTATCAGAGTTAAAGACATTGTGTATAAATGTTTTGGGCGTTAAAACCGCCCACTTCAATAAGGTAACTCAACATTAATTAGCAAACTACAACAAAACGACAATATGCTGAATCGCTGATCTATACTTGTATAGCATGTGAAAACTTTTTGTTCATTTCCCTCTCTCTCTCTCTCTCTCTCTCTCTCTCTCTCTCTCTCTCTCTCTCTTCTTTTCCATGTTTCTGCAGTCAACATACAACAATTAGAATCGTACCCTTTTCAACAATGATCAAGTGCATCATAGTGTACTTGTGCATGTTAAAAAAAAAGTTATTTATCACCAAAGAAAACAGTTATTGAACTTTTTCATATGAGAGTTTTATTTTATGGAATATTTATGGAAGTTTTATTTTTTTCATTAGCTAATAAGAAAAATATAGCAATCAGTTCAATCATCATATAGTCAAAAACGTACTCACACATGCACACATACAAAAAGAACCTTAAAGAGTACCTCCTACACAGATAGCGATGCCAACTTTATACTTTACAAAAAAAAAAAAGTCATTTTTAACATAATTTTATAATGAACTTTCAAATATTATATCTTCTTTTCTTATGGAGTTTAAACTGTAAAGGAAAAGTTCTATTTTCAAAAATTAAAAAGGACAATTTGTAAATTTTAAGTGAAGAAAAAAAATCAATATATTAACCAACTAACAACAAAAATGTTAAAATTTGTCAAATTTCACATTTAATAGATTTTTAAGCCCAAGTGCCAAATTTCATCATTTTTATGTATTTCATTGGAGATACCGAGAAATGTTTAACTAAGTACCTAGCTATTAATTCATGACTGCACAACATCTAAATGCAAAAGCTCGTACTTCATATTAACTGTGAAAATTTTGAAGGTGGAGTACTTACCATATTGCTAATAACTTGAAATCACCGCATCCTTGATTGAGGCAACAGCTTCTGTGATTATGTTGTACATGATATCTACTGATTTAGTAATGCGTTCTTTAGAGGTTCTATCGTCAACAATGTGGAGTGCCAGAGTCAGAAGACAACCATGAGCAACTCCTCCAAACATCTTGGAGACATCAGGAAGGATCACGAAGCCCGAGGACAAGATTCTCACGAAGTCTGGATTTCCGCCGTTTAAGACCCTTGACACCGACAGAATGTCCAGTGGTGCAAACACCACATATGAGCCGGTTGCGTCTGTGCAACTCTGTTGTAGGTACAAAATCGCAATCTTATCTAGTGTTGACTGAAAATCAATTTAAATCGCGTAATTAGTGTTTGGAGCCAGAACATCATTCAATAAGAAACACAAAATAAAAGGAATTGAGAGTTTTTGTTAAAGTATAAAATTATTATTGGCTAACCTCCTATTAATTTAAGCTTTTGGGATGAATTGGTAAATTAACATCCTGAGTTCAAATCCTTGTAATTGCACTCTTTATTTCTATTTAAATTGTCATCACGTGTTGGGTCTTTAATATATTTCGGGCTTAAATATTCACGTCTTGGACTTTCTAATTACTTTACTCACACGATTGTCCATAGTCCAACCCACACGTGAGGGAGAATGTTAAAGTATAAAATTATTATTAGCTCACCTCTTATTAGTTTAAGCTTTTGGGATGGATTGGTAAACTAACCGTTTTTCTTTTATTTTATTTGGTGGAAGTAAAAGAAGATAAAAGAAAATATCTAAAATATTTTATTTTATAAATAAGATCTTGGATTTATTTTAAATTTAGTTTTTATTTTTTTTTTACTTTTAACTGTATTTTGTTCCGCTCCAAGAATTCAAACAATTTACACAAGGTTTGAGACCTATATAATAAGAATGAAATGTTTTTAGAATTTTCAATTCATTTGATATGTTGTTTTTCAATTCATTCCTTTCCGGATCAATCATGGTCTTATAAACTCTACCAATAGTATTTATAGACAAATCCATTGCTTCACACAAATGTGTAAAATATACAAGCCGCACTTAAAAGCCAAATACTCTATCGTTGAGATAGCAACTCGAACTAAAATAAAATAATTATAATGAGTAGACAAAACCGAAATCCTAATAAGCAATAAATAAATAGGTTGAATAATACTGCAAAATCAAATTTCCAAAACAATTATTCTGTAGTTTATTTTCTTGTCAAATCTTTTCTCCTTTCTTGTCTTTCCTAATTTCCTCTATTTACCTTGTCAAAAAGACCCTATTTGGATTTCTACTAATTTATCTTTTCAAACTTTTTACATAATTCCGTTTTACTCTTCAAATCCCTCTTTCTTTTCCTCTTACTTTTCTACCCTCTAACCAACTTGTATATCAAATTTTATATGCTTTACCGATTATAACATATGTGAAATCAATTACCGCATTATTTTGTTACCAAATTTAGTAAAAACTTATCCATACAAAATCTAGTAATAGCTTGATACTCATACTATTATTCAAGAAAGAATTAGGCGTAGGAAAACTTACATTCACTTGAATTAAGGAAAGGTGATTTCCTGGGTCTTCGCCGGTACTGATGCGTGCAAGTTCTTTGATGGAATGGCCTTGTGAAAGAATATCCCACTGAAAAAAGAATAAAATAAAAAAAAAACACACATTTATTATAATGGAATAAAATATGTTTTCTTTATATTTTTGGTCCATAATATTATTTACTTAAACAAAAACTACAACTTTCATTCATTTATTATGGAAACAACTACGAACCATGTATTGCATATTTGCATTCGTATTATATTTATTGCAATTGCATGAAAAAAGAATCAAAATGTGTTACTTTTACATGCACGTGGAACCCTATATTGCTCAATTTTTAAGTTGATAAACGACAAGGATTTAGTATATGCAAGGTCACATAAACTTTAATTGATAATTTTGGATAAAGCAAAGATATTTTTATTTTTGTAACAATACACAAATTGTTGATAATTTTCCACAAGAGGAATTAATGATTAGACTATGTTCACAGTACAAATAACCCCCCTACAGTTCTTCACAATAAAATCTTGAAAGGAATTAACCAATAGTAGTAATGGAACCATAAAACAATGTTGTTTGTTTCATAGATTTAAACCATATTTTTTTTTTTTTGCTATAGTGTTTTCTCGTAAAAAAATTTAAATTATATGTAAAATTTCTATTCAAATCTATAAACAAACAACTAAAACCACACATAGATATTATAACACATACCCGGGTTCGAGATTCCTCATCACTAAGAAAATCGAACACTTTCTTCGGTGTAGCTGGAAGCTCTACGGAAGTAGCAAAGACAACAGTTGCAACCAAAGGTTTTCCATGATCATCCTTGTTGAAGGTGCTGTTCATCATCAAGGTTGTATCTCTATTATTAGCTCTTGATCTAGGCAGTGCTCTCCATTTGTTTGTTGCAGAGGCACTTAATTCACTACAAAACCTTCTCACCATTCTCTCGGACAGCTTTAACAGGCTTCTCATCCCAGCTTCCGGTATAATTAACACTGGAAAATAGTACAAGAAAATCGTCAGTTTTTTTTGTTGGAAGAATTTTCATCACAAATTTAACCCATTAGAGCGCTCAATATCTAGCTCGTGTCCGTTTCACGTTACCTGTCGAGTTTTGATGCATAGAATAAGCCAACCAAGTCTAATAACCCCAAAAGCACTTTGCAGAAAAAATAATGCAACTATGTAACTTTTATTCTCTAATGTGATGTTTTATATATTCCGTGTTTTAATTTTACATGACTACTAATTTTTAGAATTCGAACAACAAAAAACTCACATATAAGTTTTAACCTAAAGGTTTAAAACCATACAATTTAAACCCGCGAAGTGAACGGGGGCACAATATTTGCACAAATATAAACACAATTTTTAAGTTATTTTGAGAAGATTGATTTTATAGTTTTAGATTTTGTTTCTACTTGTATCTGAACAATCCCAGACTAATTATTAATTCTAAAAGTGCCTGCTTTTTATTTGAACGAACTTTTACAAAAAGTCAAGTCCCTATCTTCTTTTAAGAATTAAAGAAGTTAATGTAAGGTAATTATTTGTACTTTTAACCTCTAACTTTATCTATTTTACAAATAATGCTACGCTTATATCTACAAATTATAAAAACTATGATTAAAAGCATAGTCAATCAATAGTAATAGAAAAAGATTGCATGAGTTCCTCTCTTTTCGCACTGCTTAAAAGTTAAAGCCAGAAAGAAAACTAGAAAAACAGAAAGGAAGAAAGTAAGATTAGAAGTTTTAGTAAATTACATATATGAGAAACCAAATTAATAACAGAAGATATTTACCTCCATCAGCAATAGAAGGGCTTGTATGAGCCCTAATTAGGGCACATTGTCGAGCTAAAGTGGCGACCCAACGCTTTGCACTAAAAGCAAGACCAGAAGTCACTATTGGCTCAAACATTTTGTGAACTCGCCTATCATCAACTTCCACATGCTCAATCCATATGACCTAATTAATTTAATTCGCATAAAATTAAAATCCAAATATTTCCTTAGAGAACAAAATTATCAATCACATATATATTGATAGTACATATATGTGTATTATCATGGTAACCATAAAAACGTAACCATTAAAAAATCTTACGTAAATATATGTGCATCTTTAAAGGATAAAGATATATTATTTGGGGACACCTTAGAGTATCCATTTGGCATTTCTTCGATCAAACAGCCAGAAGGTCGTCTTCGAAATGTCTTAGCAGATGGAAACTGAAACAAAGATTCCAAAGACACATCAACAACTCCCCACATCCCATGGCCGAGTCGTTTGCAGTGCCTTGAAAAATAGGTTTCTCGAATTGGAATAAGTGGACTAGGTGCATAAAATTCTGCGGCCATCTGAATTAAAACACAAAGGAAAAGAAGAAAACGCAACATATTGTGAGTACATACATATACATATATATTTATATATACGTATGTATATATATGCACACGTGATTATCATGCATGTATACGAATAAGTAAATGCAGGCCTCTACTTAAGTTGTTTCATTAGCTAGGTATAAACAAGTGTTATATATAAGATGTCCATGCATTTCTCTGTCAAATTAGATTGTAAAATAATGTTGAGAAAAATGTATGTGTGTTGTCCTGCATGAAAAGTGGATGAGAATATAAAGTGGTTTATATACATAGAAGGATCCTAGACCCAATAGGTTAATCTTTTGGGTCAAGTTAGGCTCCTGAAGTGTGTTGGGTCAGTTTTGCATGTGGAATCTCCCTAACAAGTGGTATCAGAGCCCATGGTTCGTATGGGCGAAGAGATCACACTCAGTTAGCGTTCCCGCAGTTGGTGCTATTGTAGGTGGCTTTTGTTTGAAGTGTGATGCTTGGATGTACCGGCTACAAGAAACTTTAATTCAAGGGAGAGCTCAGTGAAAATACACATGCAGGAGAGATTGTTGAGAAAAGTGCAGTTAGTGCTGGTGCAGGTGGCTTTTGTTTGAAGTGTGATGCTTGGATGTGCTGGCTACAAGAAACTTTGGTTCAATGGGGAGCTCAGTGAAAACACACATGAGGAAGAGATTGTTGAGAAAAGTATATGTGTGTGTTGTCACACATGGAAAGTAAATATGTAAAGTAGATGAGAATGTAAAGTGATTTATATATAGAAGGACCTTAGACCCAATAGGTTAACCTTTTGGGTCAAGTTGAGCTCTATAAAGTGTGTTAAGGTAATTTCGCATGTGGAGTCTCTCTAACCTGTAGTTTTCACACCTGACTTCACTTTGAGATATAAAGTTCAAATTTCCTATGCTCTAAATGCACAAAAAAAAAAAAAAAAAAAAAAAAAAAAACTTAGTTTTTTTTTTTTTTTTTTTTTTTAAAAAAAAAAAAAAAAAAAAAAAATAACAACTTAGTTTTTTTTTTTTTTTTTTTAAAAAAAAAAAAAAAAAAAAAAAATAACAACTTAGTTTTTTTTTTTTTTTTTTTAAAAAAAAAAAAAAAAAAAAAAAATAACAACTTAGTTTTTTTTTTTTTTTTTTTTTTGATAAAACTAAATCATGAGATAACAGTTAGCATGGAATACTTTTATTAATCTGGTAATTTTAATATCTCGTACGATTATTAGCAACTTACAAGAAAGTGGGCTTTAGTTAGAGTATATATATATATATATATATATATATATATATATCACTGCAAATAAATATTGCCATTGAATTTAGTTCGATAAGAAAATTAGTAATCTACCAAGACAAATGAAACTATAGAGCAGTTTATAATATTTCGTGTACTTCTGTAAAACGTATCTGTATATTGTTAGTCAAACTAGTATGAATGTCAATAAATCTCTTCCCATGAAAGTATAAAATGAACATATATCCATGAACAAGCTAAAAGAGTTGAAAAATCAAACACTTTTACATTCAGAAAAAAGAAAACAATGAAATTACATGGAAATAAAGGAAGATAAAAAAATGAAATTTGGATTCTCATATATAAATAATTACCACTTGCAGAGTTCCGTCATAGTTTTGTTCCAACATGCCTGTAGACATCAAAACTCCCAGTACGACAGCTCTAGAGACAATATTTGAAAACAATAGAGACCACTGTTTCTGAAAATTAGAAAGCATATTATATGAACATTAGTCAAACAGAAAATCATTAGAAATACCATTAAAATTAAACTGTTCACATTTTCATCTCCAACTTCCTTAAAATAAAATTGTTCATTTTTCACCTGACATTAATGTAAATGTTATTTTTTGCCAAAAAAAAAAGGAAATATTTATGAGTTTTCTGAGGACAAAATCCTACCGAATCCATAAGCAGTTCAACAAGTTTGGCTGGCTTCATTTCAACATAGCCAATTTCTCTTGAGCCTTTAGAATAAAGCTGTTCTTGACTAGGTGGTTTATCATATACTCTAAGATCCAAATGTAAGAACTCTTCATCAAAATCCTCAGTAGAGGAGAAAAATTCCTTGTCGGATTTTGGGTATCTTGGCAAGGGTTTAAATTGCCCCACCTCAACCATCCTCATTAAATCCATAAGTGTAGCATTCATATTCACAAATTCCTTAAAATACTCAATGTCATTCAGTGTCTCCATGTTTTTATCTTGGTCAAGCGTCCATAGAGGCCCTCCCGTTGTGGCCATTTTCCGAAGCTCATCCATCGCCTTCGAGGCAAGCTCCGCGATTTTGCCTTTGTTTTCCTCGGTGCGTATTGAGAATGACATAAGAAGGTCGGTTGCTCGGAGAGGAAGATTATGTTTGTTGCTTCCGACAACAACATTAGATTTCGATACTTTGCTTTCCCTGGTATGCATTTCGGATGACTGCTCAGAGGATGTCTGAGAGTTGTCTGGTGATGAGGAAAGAACATCCTCATTGTGGTGTGGACCAATATTTTGTATCTGTAACTGGTGCAAAACCTTGTCAGTGTAAACAAATGAAGAACGAAACCTAAATGAAAAGAGCAAAAGAAACCCAAATCAAGTTATAAGCAATAATCACACCAAGCCACTCACTCATATATTTCATCATTATATAAAATTAGGGTATTTTCATGTTCAAACTTAATTAACGGATATATAATATATAGGGAAATCAATAACATTTTGATTTATTCTAACAATTTTATATCTAAATGACAAGGATTTTTTAAAATAAATAGAGAGATGATAACTAGCATTTTAGCATACATCCCCAATTAGATTGGCACGCATTAAGACATACATCTGACACTAAACCCTCTAGTTAAATGACAACAATAGACTGCAAATATACTTTTTCATTTTCTTTCTTGTTTTGTTAAGATCGGTTTTTCCCAAAACCCTACTTTATTTTTGAGCGGCTACCGTCTTTTATTAACATTTTTCTTCAAGTGATGCTATTGTAATCTACGTGTCTCCGCATATGTATGCATAACAAAACCCCTAATTTCAGAATTTACCTGTTGAGCCCTTCTATGGCCAGTTGGATGATCATGACCTAATTTGCTTCTCTTCTTTTTATTATCACCTGTTTCTCTACTTCCTTCTAGAGGATAACTGAAGAAAGACAAGAAATAAACCCTAAAACAATCAGAATCAAACTGACATCACAATACTAAAATACATAAAAGACAAAAAAGAAAAAAAAAAAAAAAAAACCCCCAGTGGCAAAATCAACAATACAAACAAATGCAAAGCCTTTTTTTTTAATATATTTTTCTGCCTAGGTTATATAGCTAGGGTTTTCTCCAAGATAACTTACTTCTGACCAAAGCGTTCAAGGCCAAAGTCGTATAACTTCTCAAACTCATCCTCTACGAGCCTAAAAAAAGGGCTTCCGTTGAATTCATTGTTCCTTGC